TTATGGGGAGGCAAAAACATTTTTCTGCCATCAGGAATATATATACAATGTGATTAGGAATTTGGGGTAGATGTGAGCTTCAATGCACAGGTTTTAATATTTAATGGCTTCAATGGCCCAAAGAAATGTAAGAATACCCAATAATCATCAATCGGATTTTATGGCTTATTTTAGCATAGCAATGGCTGGAATTTCTTTTTAATGTTGGATATGCAATATCCAAATACATATATTACAAAAATAAAAATCTCAAGCTTTTTTTGTCCCAATCGTTTTGGATAAGAACTACTCAATCACTACTATGAAACAGGACAATGTTACAAGGAAAGGGACGATTAATATACTTGGTAGACGCCTTTTGACAGGTGGGAAATGGAAGCAGATTGAACTGTCACTATTTGATTTATTATACTTCCCCAATATTGTCTTATATAATCTTGTGGCATTTCAGGGACTGATGGCCCCTTTCACACATCTGTGTAAAACCCACATTGAACTGAATTATATGGCAGAGTGGACATAATGCCCTTTCACAGAGCCCTATATCCCAGAATATCAAGGCAGAAAATCCCACATTATCTGAGTGTGGACGCAGATAACCCACTTCAGAGCAGATACTCTGGGATTTTCTGCCTTAATATTCTGGGATATAGGGCTGTGTGGAAGGGCATTATGTCCACTCTGCCATATAATTCAGTGGACTCAGATAACCCAGTTCAAAGTGGATATTGTGGGATTTTCTGCCTTGATAGGGCTGTGTGGAAATGTCCTCAGATAATCTAGGCCAGTGGTTCTCAACCTTCCTAATGCTGCGACCCCTTAATACAGTTCCTCATGTTGTGGTGACCCCCAACCATAACCCTAACATTATGAATCGCCATGTAAATAATGATCTGCAGGATGTATTTTCATTCACTGGAGCAAATTTGGCACAAATACCTGGTATGCCCAAATTTGAATACTGGTGTTGGGGGGGGGGATTGATTTTGTCATTTGGGAGTTGTAGTTGCTGGGATTTATAGTTAACATGTAAACAAAGAGCATTCTGAACCCCACCAACAATGGAATTGAACCAAAGTTGGCACAGAGAACTCCCATGATCAACAGAAAATACTGGAAGGGTTTGGTGGGCATTGACCTTGAGTTTGGGAGTTGTAGTTTGCCTACATCCAGAGAGCACTGTGGGCTCAAACAATGATGGATCTGGACCAAACTTGGCACGGATACTCAATATGCCCAAATGTGAACACTGATGGGGTTTGGGGAAAATAGACTTTGACATTTGGGAGTTGTATTTGCTGGGATTTATAGTTCATCTACAATCAAAGAGCATTCTGAACCCCACCAATGATAGAATTTGGCCAAACTTCCCACACAGAACCCCCATGACCAAAAGAAAATACTGTGTTTTCTGATGGTCTTTGGCGACCCCTCTGACACCCCTTCGCAACTCCCCCAGGGGTCCCGACCCCCAGGTTGAGAAACGCTGATCTAGGCCCTTTCCACACAGCTGAATAACCCAGTTCAGAGCAGATACTCTGGGATTTTCTGCCTTGATAGTCTGGGATATAGGGCTGTGTAGAAGGGCCCTCAGATAACCTAGGCCTCTTCCACACAGCTGAATAAAATCCTACATATCCCTCTTTATCTCTCCATACGGAGACTCAAAGCGGCTCACAAAAACCCGACAACTTAAAATATACCAATATGCAATAATAAAACAGTATATTGTTATATATTATTAGTAGTATTATATTTAATAGTATTATTATATTACATTGTTATCATGTAGTATTATTAGTATACATTGTAGTGTATTATTTATTTATTTATGACATTTATATGTTGCGCTTCTCACTCCGAAGGGGGGGGACGACTCAGAGAGGCTTACAAGATATATATATATATATATATATATATATATATATATATATATATATTATTAGCATATATACAAACACACAATATATTATATTATATTATTCGCATAGTACAATATCAGTATTCTATATTACTATATTGTACTATACCATTACCTATATAAATAAAAATGTAATGTTTGTGGGATTAGCAGAACTCAAAAACCATTGGATGAATTGACACCAAATTTGGACACAAGACACATAACAATCCAATGTATGTCCTTCACTCAAAAAAAATTGTTTTTGTTGTTTGGGAGTTGTAGTTGCTGGGATTTATAGTTCACCTACAATCAAAGAGCATTCTGAACCCCACCAACAATGGAATTGAATCAAAATTGGCACACAGAACTCCCACAAGCAACAGAAAATACTGGTGGGCAGTGTCCTTTGGTTCTGGAGTTGTAGTTCATCTACATCCAGAGATCACTGTGGACTGTGGATCTGGACCAAACTCTACACGACTACTCAATATGCCCAAATGTGAACACTGGTGAACTTTGGGGAAAATTAAATCTTGACGTTTGGGAGTTGTAGTTGCTGGGATTTATAGTTCACCTAGAGCATTCTGAACCCCACCAATGATAGAATTGGGCCAAACCTCCCACACAGAACCCCCATGACCATCAAAGACGGTCATATAATACACACACACACACACACACACACACACACACACATATATATATATATAATTATCTATATTATTAGCATAGTACAATATCAGTATTCTATATTATATTGTACTATACCATTATATTGTAATATTATTACTAATATTACATGTAATATAAAATATATAATTATAATATATTATTATTAACATAGCACAGGAGTCAAGGTGGAACTGTCTTCTGCCACCTTCTCTCTTCACTCTGGCCCAGTGTTGTTGTTATTATTATAACATATAATAATGTTATTATTATGGTGACACAATATTTTCTTATTTTAGAGACAAAAGAGTGAGAATTGTATCATCTGGAGGCAACTTTATGTGTGTGGGGGAGAATGTATGTGAGGGAACTGGGCAGCATTCCCTTTCATGCTTCCATGAGGGACACTGACTGTCGCCTCAGGACAGACTGAAAGCTCTGCCTGAGCAAGGCAGTGCGACCGTTGAGGCCCCGCCCCCTTGTGGGCGTGGCTCCGCGCGAGGACAGCCGCACGTATTAGCCTATGCGGTGCTCGTTGGTGGCTCCGCCCCGCCGCGGTTAATGACCGTTAGGGGGGTTAAAAGGGGCGTGGATTAGAGGAAGGAGGCGGGGCCTTGGCCGTTTGGTAAAGAGTGGGCGTGGCCTCGCTTCCCAAGCCTGCCTCCTTCTGGTTGCTAAGGGGCCCTTGGTTACCAACCTGGAGGATGCTGTGGGGCCTTCCCTGAGTGTTGGGGACCCCAGAGGTTTCCTCACCCCCTTCAAAGTGGGGGTGACAAAAGGCCTGGAGCTCATGCCCCACTGGAAGGGTGTCACTCCCCTTTCTTCCTGAAAATGATGGAAGGAAGCATTTGACCTCTCAGGAATTGGGGGCTAAAGGCATCACCTCCTTTGCTGTTGCCCAAAAAGAGGGACAGTTGCTTTAGTATTATTATTTTTAGAACTGATTTGTAAATCAGTTACATTAATTTTTTGCATCTAAAGTCCTTATTAGTCTCAATTTTTGTTTATTGTTTATTTTGATTTTTTATTTAGTGTCTTTCCCCCTTTTAAATGCTTTTAAAAATGGGCTTTTCTGATGGGGAATTACTACGCTACTGAACTAAAGGCATATTATCACCCCTTTTTTCTGTGGCCTCGGATATTATTATTTAAAGGTTGTGTTTAGCTTTAGTATTATTATTTTTAGAACTGACTTGTAAATCAGTTAGGTTTATGTTTTTGCATCTAAAGTCCTTATTAGTCTCAATTTTTGTTTATTTTTTATAAAAACTAGTCGATCTTTTATTTAGTGTCTTTCCCCCTTTAAAAAAATGGCATTTTCTGATGGGGAAATACTATGCTACTGAGCTAAAGGCGTATTATCACCCCTTTTTTTCCTGTGGCCTCGAATATTATTATTTAAAGGTTGTGTTTAGCTTTAGTATTATTATTTTTAGAACTGATTTGTAAATCAGTTACGTTTATGTTTTGCATCTAAAGTCCTTATTAGTCTCAATTTTTGTTTAATTTTTTTTTATAAAAACTAGTCGATTTTTTATTTAGTGTCTTTCCCTCTTTTTAATGCTTTTTAAAATGGGCTTTTCTGATGGGGAATTATTACGCTACTGAGCTAAAGGCGTATTATCACCCCCTTTTTTTCTGTGGCCTCGAATATTATCATTTAAAGGTTGTGTTTAGCTTTTTTTAAAATAACAGTTAAATCTATCTTTTCTTCTCTGTTTTTAAAAATTAGATTGACCCAGCCCTGTAAAAATATTGATGTTTTGTATCTTTTGTTTTTGAAATACTATACAATTCTGTTGAAAAAAATATTGAGCTGCCAATCCATTTTGAATGGATAATGCTGCTAGGTTTTAAAAACCTTGGTGGTTTTTAAATATAATAGAAGGAAAAAGCAATTCAACTTCTATCTCTTGTAGAAAAATCTATCCCTCTGATAGAATTTGGTCACTGACTTTTCTGTTCGCTCCAAGAGCAGCAATTGCACTTATTATTATTATTATTATTATTTAAAGGTTGTGTTTAGTTTTTGTAAATTAATTAAGTTTATGTGTTTTTGGATCTATGGTTCTTCAGCTCTGTCTCTTTTAAAAGATTAGATTGCCCCAACCCCATTTATTTCCTTTTTAATGATTTTTATTTTTCACTTTTAAAGTACTTACAAAAACAAATTTCTGTTGCAAAAATATTGGGCTCCTGATTCACTTTGGAATTGCATTTTTTTTCCAAGTAAGAATGGTCCTGCCAGGTTTTAAAAGCCTTGGAGAAAACAGTGGGGTGTAATAGAAGTAAAAGGCAATTCAACTTCTATCTCCCATAGAGAAAAAAAACAACAACACCTCTTATAACATTTGACTGCAGCCGTTGTCTAGTTTGGGTGTGACGTTTGCTGTTTGTACATTTAGCTGTGAAAAGACTTGACTGCATCATGTCAGGCCCAAATGCCAAGGAGTCTGAAAGTGGTGCTCCGAATCTTCGCACTATGGCTTCAGACCCATCCTCTTCTTCTTCTGCTCCTGCTGCCGAAGGTCCAGCAGAGTCTTCTTTTGGGGAGCACAACCTTAGCTTCACCACCACAGACCTCAGTGTTGTGGAAATGACAGAAATCGAATACACCCAGCTTCAACACATACTCTATTCCCACATGGAGGCGCAAGCGAATGAGAACGAAGCAGAAAACAGGCTAAATTCCACTTGCTTCTCATCTAACAGCAATGCAAGTCAATCACAATATCTGTCATCATGCAATAGCAGCCAAGGGGGCTTTTCATCCAACACCTCTGGAAACCAGTCGCTCTACCCCATTATTTGCCAGCCTGGTTTGGCTTCTGACAACAGTTTTGTGGGTCCTCCTAATCAGTGTCTTGGACATATCGACTTCCAGGAGCTCAGGATGATGTTGCTTAGTGAGTCTAGCCTCCCTCTAAACCAAGCTGAGAAAACACCCAATGGTAGCTCTGCAAATACGCCCGGGCAGAGTTTAGTAAAGGTTAAGCACAGCGACAACTTGTGTGGGATGAATAAAGAAAATCTTCCTTTGGAAAATTCAGCACTTCTTCCGGAGCCGAGAGCAAAACCCGCAGTCCGTGTGCGGCTGGAAGACAGATTCAACAGTATCCAGACTGAAATCCCCAGAGGTCAAGAAGCCCAGGAACCTGGAGTAGCCATTAACAAGTGTGTTGCATTTATGTTTCCTTTAAAGCATATACATTTGTCTCCTCTATTAACCGTTGTTGAGTGAACAGAAGAAATGCTAATATGTAATAATATCAAATGTTTTTGTCCTAAGAAAAAAATAGCAGCCCCTTAGTTCCATATACAGATTAATAATGAGTGGAATCTTTTTATTTACATATAGGCACTTAAATACCCTAAAAACCTCAGATTTCATCCAACATTAGAAGGTAAGCAGAGTCAGCCACAGTGAGTACCTTGGATGGGACGTTGCCAGTGAATACCAGGTGCTGTGAGAAGGAACTGGCAAGACCACCCCAGGGCAAGACAGGCCTCAGATCCCCCTATCAATTCCATGGAGATAACAATAAACAACTTGAAAGCAGATACATTTACTTGTAACTGTTGCTATTTGAATGAACTTGAGGTTAGGCCTCAGCTGGTGGGTTGATACTGCACTCTCAATCCCAAGTGCTCGTATTGGGTGAGAAAAAGCCATTGTGTTGATCTTTGAATTTCAATCCTGTTATAAACATTTTTGTCTCTGTTACAAGTCATCATATTGCAAATAAGTCCAGAAAAGAAAGACTGGCATCCTGTTGGGAATTTTCAAAGTCATAAACAAACCTATGATTGCACATTTCCGAATCACCACACTCTGTAACAGCCGTATTTCCAGGAGGGGAGCGGCGTCATAGCTATGACAAAGGGTTCATTGCACAAACAGTGTGGTCATTGCACAGTGGTTGCAGTGTACAATTGTATGGTGCTCTGCAGGACAGGCTACCCTTACACAATGATAGCACAAGGTAGGAGAACAGCTCCCAGCAATGTCACAGGGCAGCAATAATCCAGAATGGAAGGCAGAGATAAATCAGTGCCTTGTCCACAACTGGAAACATACCCCCACAGTTTGTGTTACCCCATTTTGCATTCTCATAATTCTCTAACAATATGGTTGTGTATTGTGTCAGCAACATCGCCCTATCATTGTAAAGTTACATATGGCAGGTCAGATGCAGCAGCTCATCCAAGATATGTTACTCTGCACCCAGGATATAAAGTATCAGCAAAGTAAAATTTGTTATCACTTGTACACAAGAGGTGCAGCAGCCAACTCTAAGGAGAGGAAATTTGTTTCACACACACACATACCACCTCCTTCCATACATAAACGTCTCAAGAGGAATTAAAGTACTGAGAATCTATTGTTTTATGTAAGAGGAATTTTTAGATTCTGTAGGAGGCTTCCTAGCTTCCTAGCTGATGTACTGCATGTAAATATTTATGTTACATTTAGGCAATATTTCGAAGTGCTTTTTAGTAACTTGGCACATTTTTATTTTATTACCTTAGTGTAATGTTATGGATTGTCTGATATAGGTTGTGATATTACCTTTGGACACTAGTGAGAGAACACCATCCAGTCCACTTCTTAGATGGTATACCAATCTGTAATTTTCTTCCTTTGATTGGCTTTTTGAGCTGTGTGGTATATATAATGTGGATTTGAAATTGTGAAAGAAAGCAGTGTATAGAAGGATTCAAAATAGTATGTAAAACAGAGTCTAGTAGGATTCAAACAGTATTTCACCTGTGCACGTTTGCATGTGCTTACTTTCTGTGTAAATATGCACAGAATTGAGATGTTCTTGGTTGGAAAATGTCTGAATTGGTAAGACTTTTACTTAATCCTACTTAATGTGCTTTGGTCCCACTTGCTCTTTGGCTGTGCTCCTGTGTGGTTAAAATTTGCTTGCAACTAGAAAATCCCGCCATTCCCAGTTGGTATTCACCCACCCTTTAGCTCCCAAAAGGGGCCAAAAGGTCAAGACCCTGAAACAGATGTACATGTCTGACATAGCTACTATGCCAATATTAGCTCCCTACTCTGCCTAGTAAACTGCATAGCTGCCCCATGCCCCAAGACAACTATATTTATGTTAGTGAATGAGGGGAAATCCAGGCATCTTTGGGATATATTTGCAGGGGATATCAAACTGCAGGTGTGCTGAGCTAAAATAAAATAGAGTAGCTGATCCTCACTGTTGTCCAACAATCTAGAATTAGTTATGTTGTGATGTTTACATGACTTATAACATGGGTTTGGAGGGGGTTCTTTTAGACATTGTGAAGGTCAGAATAGAATTCCTATCGACACAATGACCAAAACAGTCAGTTGCTATGGTGTCAGTGAAACATACTTCATTGTAGTTTTCCAACAGGATGTTAGCCATGTTTATCACCCCTTCTCAGTGGATAAGTATTACCAGTTGTTCCATGTACACATTTTTATAAATTTTGCTTATAGATTGTTATAGCTTCCTCATAGTTACATTAATGTAGACTTGATGTGTATTAAACTAGAATTCTGAACCATTATTAGAATGGCTATTAGTAGAAGAGGGTATGAAACTTACACATTTCAAACAAGTATTATTTCTTTCATAGCTTAGTAACCCTCATTCGCCATCCTTCAGATGTGATGGGTGTTCCTTTCCATCAGCAGCAAAATAAATGTACCACATTAGTGAAAAATAAGACTGCTGCTACAACTACAACTGCATTACAGTTTACATGCCCATTATTTAACCCAAACTCTGCTTCTTCTGCAACCGGAAATGCAAACACATCACAAACACAGGTTAGTTATTTTTTAAAATATATATCATTCTTGTTTTAAGTCTGTTTTAATAGTAAATCATCCAAAGAGGATATAATAGAGTTTAAAAATATGTGTTTTGAAGTTAAGATATTGAGCACTAATTTCATATATGGTGGAATATATTAATTAGTCTTGGACATGATCTGAAGAACCATGAGCCAAAGAGGTCTTTAGACAGATTTCGTGCCTCCAATTCAAGTTTCACTTAAATGTAACGTTTCCTTATTCTTTATTTTCTTCTGTGACCTTTCTCTATATTCCTTCTTACCATAAAAGTATGCAAGATGGCTTGCTTGTATATTCAAAGATAACTTAAATGTGAAAACAAAAAGGTATTATAAATAGTTAGGAAGCCAGCCTGGTGTAGTAGTTTGAATGTTGAATTATGATTTCAGATCCCACAGTTTGAATCCCCACTCAGCCATGGGAAGCTATTGAGTGACCATAAGTCAGAAATGACTTGAACATACAAAGCTAGAACAACAAAAATAGTTAATGTTTTTCTAAAAGGCAATTACAAGTAAAAAAGTTTTCTTCCGAAACTGTTTGTTTAGTAAACAGCATGAGCAAAGCCTGTCATTTGAAAGATAACAGTGATGATAGCCCATAAATGGGAACTAGATGTTGGGCTGTAATTTCTATCAGCCCTAGCTAGCTGAACTATTGTGAAGCATGCTGAAAATTGTATTCCAACAATAGTCGGAGAGCTGCTGGATAATGTAAGGCAGTGTTTTTCACAGTATGGATGGATGCCACCATGGAAAAGGCATTTCCCAATAATAGCCATCACAACCAGGTTCTTGAGATGGGCGCATCCAGCAAGGGGACTCAGGTGGTTGCCATCTAGGTTTACATGGTATAAAGCCACACCATTGTGACAGATGAAGAGGAGAAATACAGCTTTGCCAAGATGATATTATCTAACTCTGATCTAAGAACCTAACCATGCCTTACACGGGAGATCTATGATTAGATGACCTCACATAGTGTTCTGTCATAGTTTCTGGGGTAGAGGTTGCATCTGGGTACTGCAATTTCAAAGCAAATTAGTTTTTCCTGAAAATAGTATTAGTTGCAAAGGAAAAAATATATATGCACTTCATTTAATAGCAGCTTGGCAGAGAAATTTTAATTGGAAGTACTGCATGATTTGTAAAGGATTTGACCTCACCCCCTCCCTCATGCCACAGCTTTAATCCAAACTGGAGGCCCTTGTCACCTATTTAGAAATGAATTATTCAGGGGAGCCAAAGTAATGTGTACTTTGTTCTGTAGTCTTTACTAGTTTTTCTTCCAAAAGGAAACTGTTCACTTGTTGCTTGAACTTCTCATGCTTAAATAAAAATTAAATTGTTTAATTAGAAGGCAAGAAAAACAACATTGTACACAAACTTAGTTTTACATATATGTGATTTTCCTGTTTCTTTTAGAATTCTGGAGCCACTGTTTTAGAAGCAGGCAAACATCAAGATATTGGATTGCCCCGAACTTTTTCTATCTGTTACCAGCAGGAAATTGAAGCAACTAAGCAGACAGTTGGTCCTAGAAATAAGGCTGTACCTGAACATTTTTGGATTAAGCTGGGAGGTAAATGGCAAACATTTGGATGAGACTGTTATTAGTGGCTAATTTCTTTTTTAGAGGAGGTCAAATTCAAATGTCAAAATTGTTTTATTTTGATGAAACGTTTTCTCAAAATGTTATCCCTAAATCATTTAAAGGCAGCTTATTTCCTTTGTAAGCAATGAAGAAAATGAATGATGGCTCTAACATGATATTTTTCTCAGCCTCAGAATGATCTCATTACTTACTTTCTGCAGGGAGTAGTTCTAAAGTTGGTTGTGTTTTTAAAAAAACGTTTTGTTTGCATTTGGTGGAAGCAATAGAAAAGACCTGCAGAGAGATGCCAGCAAAGCAAAAAACACAGATAACAGATAAGATTACATTTTAATGTCTGCTCCAGGCACTGAACAGTTGTTTCTGAACCGCGGAGCATAGGGGTAGCTCATGAGCTTTTTATGGCATTTTCACATAGATATATTGTTAGTGCAGTGAGACTGCAGTCCTACATCTATTTAATCAAGGGGTAAACCCCACTGAACAGAGTTATCTGTGAGAATACATGTATAGGACTGTGTTGTAATAGGAGACCAGGACTGCAAGATTTAACTGGTGTATTGTATTAATCAGTTGAAAATACAGTGTGGCTGATTAGTATTTCTGTCATTATAAACTGACTTATGATCACATAAAGGTGAATTGCAATCTTGCACACTGCTCATATTTTCAGGAGAGAAACAGATCTGTAGCAAGCAACATATCTGTGTGGGTTTATCACTTTATCCACTGCTTTTCCATCAGGTATGAAGTTCTGCCTGAACTTCCTCTGCCAACAAGTGTGAAGGCTTCAACAAATCTCACCGCTGTTACAAAGGGCAAGGGGTTTCCTGTACTTTCACCTTTGCTACCAATGTCAGGACTTCTTGCTGTGGTCACCATCTCTGCTCTTGAGGTTACTGCATGAGATATACTGTACAGCTTCTATCCCCATCAGATACCACCTCTCTTTATTCACCGCTGCCACCACAGAAACTGTGTCTCAGCTCAAGCTTCTCAATATATAGCATTCCAGAAGTCCAAACTGTAGAAATATCAACACAGCCCTTTATTAAGAGAGGTTGAACATAACAAAACAGGCTAACTATTTAATATATTTAAAAACACGTCTTATACGCTCTCTCAGACTCCTCTCCTAGTCAGCCTAAACTCCACTAATTTCTTAAACATTATTGATTGTTTCTACCCTAATTTACACTCACTCTTTTCCTCTCTAGCTTTGAAAAATTAACCTTATTCAGGTCCTCTCATTCACTCCAAACATTTCATTCTTTTGCCCACTCCTTACAGCTCCTATCCTTATTACCTCTAATACAGTAAGTACATAGTGCATACATAAGCAAACTATCTTAATATCTAACGCACAAAAAAGCATTTTCCATCAAAAATACTGTATGTGCCATCACATTTTTCCTAGATCATTGTACAAATGGAGTTAGCAGTGTAGCCATTTCACAATGGTATAAATGCACAGCATGTCTTCATGAATAACATAGTGGGACCTGTTGCTTACTGGGACACATAACTCTATCATATCAATTTTACACATCATAGCCTCTGATTCAGAATCTAAGTCAAAATATCTTGATCAGAATACTCAGGAATACTCAATGGTTGTTTTGCCAGTTCCTTCTTCTGAAATACAGCCTACAGTACCTGATATTTGTTGGCAGTCTTCCATCTAAATACTAAGCTCAGCCTCCAAGATCAGGCAGGTCTGGTTCCTTTAGGGCATTTAAGAATTTAACAAGGAGTAATATAGTACATTATAATTTGTAGAAAGACTGAGAGTGTAAACCCCATTGTTTAAAGTTATTTTGGTTCTGAATGTATAATTTCTTTTAAAAATAATTAAAATTGCAAATTCATATTGTCTTTAGTATCTCAATATGTCAATTGTGCTTTTGTTAAAATACAAATAGATGTAAATGATTTTATGCTTAATTGTTCAAATTGAAAAAGCAAATGAAGAGTCCATTCTTGAAGTAGTAAACAGCCTCAGGATTCATAAAGTTATGGAGTACAATTACATTTCTGTTACCATTTTTATATATAATACAAAACTATACAAACTATGTATGCTTTCTACTCTTGTTTGTAAAGGTGAAGCTTTATGTAAGCAGACCATAAACAAAAGAACTCGTAATCGGCTCCACCCCTTGGAAAGCAATGTACAGCGCAAACCACTTGGTGATATACAAAATGTGTGTGATATCCAAAGTGCTGGCCCATCACAAGGTGCATGGCAAGCAGGACAGTCAACACAAAGTACACAAAGTGGAAACCAAGGTGGTGTCTCACAGCGTCGAGAGAGGCATAACCGAATGGAAAGAGACAGGAGGTAATTGGAAAGAGTTCCTGGGAAACATGAGTTCTTAGGAGAGCCCTGAAGAGGAAATTGAGCTATTATACTGTGTTCTAGCAGTTTGCATTGCAGGAAAGTGTTAGCATTTTGAGCTAACTGAAAATTAATAAGACATATGCTTAATCATAGAATCATAGAGTTGGAAGAGACCTCATGGGCCATTCAGTCCAATCCCCTGCCAAGAAGCAGGAAAATTGCATTCAAAGCATCCCTGATAGATGGCCATCCAGCCTCTGTTTAAAAGCCTCCAAAGAAGGAGCCTGCACCACACTCCGGGGCAGAGAGTTCCACTGCTGAACAGCTCTCACAGTCAGGAAGTTCTTCCTAATGTTCAGGTGGAATTTCTTTTCCTATAGATTGAAGAAATTGTTCTGTGTCCTAGTCTCCAGGGCAAAATCATTTAATGTTTCCCCAAAATCATAGACTAAAATTCTGCACAGTTTCATCTAAAAAAAGTCTGCACATTCCTTTGACCATTTAGTAGCTGGAGAAAGGTGTGCAGTGCCTAGACAGAATCCGGCTGCACTTCTATAGCTAAGGGCAAACCGCAATGGCCTTTCTTCCAGATCATTGTCACTCAATGCTGCTTTTATTTCTGGTTGTAGCTGGATGCTCCCATCTCTGCTCACTAAATGGATAGGTGAGCTTATTCTTTGCAGCAAGATTTGTGGAGATGTGTGTACAAAGAACTACTGGATAGCTCCTTGTACAACAAATGTAATAGGACATCCATGCACATATGTTGTCAATTGGGGTTAAAACCATAATAAAATATTGCTTACCACAAATCAAGAAATGTTTTGAAAAGATAAGCTTCTGAAATTCTAGAACTGACTGTGCTGTATGTAATTCTAGGCGCAGGATCAGGATTTGTTGTGATGAGCTGAATCTTCTTGTTCCATTCTGCACTTCAGATACTGATAAGGCAACAACTTTGCAATGGACAACAGCCTTTTTAAAATATATTCAAGAGCGGCATGGGGATTCCCTGAAGAAGGTGAATGGGTTCTACACAGATACAACCCCCCCCCCCAGTGCTAGACTGTGGCAATTAAAGCAGAAAATGACCAATTCCGATCATTTTTTTTGTTTACCCTTTCTTTAATGGGAACATGCTGGCCTGAATCCTATTGCTATTTCCAATTAAAGTAGATACATTAAATCAATATAATTTCACTACATATTGACTACTGTTCAAAAGTTGATGCAATGGTGCAGCTTGAGTTGGGATTAACCTACAGGGCTGAAGTCCTTTTTCTTTGGATGGCATGCAGGAGCAGTCCTCTCACTCAGGGTTTATTCATGAGTTATTTCCTTGCTTGTCAACTAAGAATACAGTTCCACAGTGACAAGGGTATCATCAGTGCTTGATTCTGTACTTATCATTCCACAGGCCACTTCTTAACCCAGAGCCAAGAGCAATTGGATGACCATTTGCTACTGTGTTGTACTTCTTTGGTAGTACAACACAGCAGGAGATCCATGGCTTCTGTAGTTATGTAATGACTATGCTTTCACTGTGGAATTATAATTTTTTTTAAAAGCTTTGTAGTGATTTCAGAGAGAAAAATCAATGCTAAAATAATTACCATTAGCAGTAATGGTGATTGCTTTTTCTTGAATGTATCCCCCCTTATCTAGAAAAAATACACAATATTGTTTAAACAAAATAAATTCTATACAAAAACCAAATTAAGATGCAGCATGAAAAAGCCAAACAACCTGATAAAATGCTCAGTTGTTAAAAATAAGCACCATATTTAGAAGTACCAGGTGTGATACTGTGCATAGCTGCTCTTTTATTACATTTTTGTGCCAATTCATCCAAGATTCCCTCTTAACCAGATGTTTAAACTAGTATTTGAGGGTTTCCACGCTGAAGAATTTACCCTATTAATACTAATTCTAACATCAGTCTTAATGTTGCTCATAGCTGCAGTTAAGGCTGGTAGAATTGTACAGATGACAACATTGTTCTGGGATGACCCTCTTCAAGTCAAGAGCTAAAATTTGGAATGGCTTGAGATGAACAATTGAAATTTAAAAAGCAACAGAAAGCCTGAGCTGCGAAGTCTCTACTTGCTTCAACCATGAATTCAATAGTTAATGAACTGGGTGTGACAAAAGAGTTATGTAAATCACCTTGACCAAGGTATAAACTCAATATGAACCACCAACATCAACAAAACCCCTTCCCTTTTTGGGTTAATAACACTCTGTCCCAGGACTGTTGTAATTTGTTCCTGTGGAACAGAAAAGTAGTTCCTTGTGTACCACCCAAACCAATTCTGAAAGGCTAGAAAAACCCCTGGAACCAATCTCCAATCCAACTGAAGTTGAGAGGATGAGAGAAGAGAATCCTGCTTTGTTGCCAGTAAAACATTGAATTTAAACTAGTGGCATGCACCTTATGTGCATGCATTTCAATGTGGTCATGTTCTCAGTGTATTGGTTTTGCTGCTATGTAATAAGCAGAACTCTCCCTTCCATACTATCACTCCACCTCATGAAAAGGCTGCCCCATTCACATATACCATTCATACACTGGACCCCTGGAAATGAATCTGCACATGTTGGAGCTCTACGTGTTCTTTTTTGAAAGAAAAATTAATAGATTTATGGAACTAGAGGGGCAGCAGTGATACAATGGGTTAAACTGTTGAGCTGCTGAACTGGAAGGTTGGTGGTTCAAATCCATAGGACAGGATGAGCTCCCGCTGTTAGCCCAGATCCTGCCAACCTAGCGGTTCGAAAACATGCAAATGTGAGATCAATAGGTACCGCCTCGGCGAGAAGGTGAACAGTGCTCAATGCAGCCCTGATGGCCTCATTACCTAGGTGTCTATAAACAACTTAGGCTCTTTGGCTTAGAAATGATGAGTAACACCCCCAGAGCCAGAGAAGAGCACCCCTCCCCACAGATCCGGGGATGAAGGGAAAGCCTTTACCTTTATCTGTATATCTGTGTTTCATTGTTTCGAGGCACTGAATGTTGCCTTATGTCTGTATATGTTGGAATCCACCCTGAGTCCCCTCAGGGAGATAGGGCGAAATACAAATACAGTGTTATTGTTACTACTACTACTACTACTACTACTACTAGCTAGGCACAATACTTAGAGGCTGTTTAAAACTTGCTTGAAGGATAACTTGGGCAGAGAGTTGTCTTAAGGCATAATTCCTTCCCAGGGCAAAAATCTATCTGTTAATTATTGTTCTGTTTGTTTAATTTTTAGGAATTTGAAACAGTATTCTGTGGTAAAACAGGCAGGAGACTAAAATTAACAAGATCCGATTCATGTCCCGCACAAGAGAATGGTACACCAACGGAGACAAAATAGTTTGACATCTTATTCGATGGTTGATGGAAAGTGAAAACACAGGATGTCTGTTCACTTCTTTTCCCAGATTCAGTTGTTCAGATTCTCTTGTAACTTAATATAGCTTGTAAAGTACATAAGCACCAAAGAAACAACACATTTTATTCAAAACAAAGGGGGAGAAATGCCACCAACGCCATTTATTTAGCAATACTGCAATGAGAAAGAGATTGCACCAAAGGCAAAGAAAACATTATCACAAGCTAGGAAATGGTAGCCCCTATCCATTACCCCAATTTTCAGTTTTTTGCTTTGTTTTCCAAATAGACAATAATTCAGATTTGTTATAGAACAGTGGCATGTTCTTTCCAGTCTTGAACATACTGATATAAATGATTTGTAATTCACAAAAACTGGTTTGCTATTGGAAGAAAAAGAAAAGATATTTGAATTTATAAATTATATAAAGATGCTAACTTGTACATAGTAATTCAGATTTGCTTTTAATGTCCAGTTTCTTTAGCCCTGTGTAACTAAAAATATATAGAAAAAGATGTTGACAGTGTATTGCAAATACAGTACTATTTCCAATATATTTTGCACTTTCTCTGCAACAAATTCAAGTACAAAATATTGTCAGCAGAGTCTATCTTGCACATAGATCCTTTGGAATGGATGGGAGAAATACAGCTGTGTAGAGCTGTACAAATCTCATTCAATTCAGTGGCACTTTCATAGGAAGAAATGGCAGCTGATTATATCCTCTCAGTGCAAAAGTGGCATTTTGTAAACAGTACATGATTTTTAAGTGCACATAATTTCTTCCTTTTTAAAAAGAAACTAGTAGAAGCAACACGTGTTAGGAAATTTGAAGTATTTAAGGAATAATACATTGAATTAAAAGTGGCTTTATTTATCTGTCAAAATAGATGATGCCAGTAGCTATTTCTTGTGCAGAATTCATCCCAAAATAAATACTGTTTAAATCACTGATATTCACATTTGTGTAGCACCTTTATTTCCAATCAGCAGGGGCAAAATAATAGAATTGGCAAAAAATAACCCTAAATAACAGGCAGGTACAATGTTACAAAAATATTTTTTTACAATAATGCACATGTTAATTTTTTTTGGGGGGGAGGGGGGCATGATAATCTATAATGTAAGATTCACACAAATAATATGTAGAGGGTATCGGATGTCAGTACAGTTTTTTCCATGTGATAATATGGAAAAATCCCTTATATAATAGGTAGAGATACATAGTCCTGCTTATGAAGCGTTGGTTTGGAAAATGTTCATTTCTAGTTGTAGATACCTAAGAAATGCGACCATGTGGCAGGTTCTATGCCCGGAACCCCCATTTAATAATTCCCTTTGTTTTTGAGACACACACAAACAGACTCAGGTAAAGCTCTGGCATGACTTCTGAAACAGCATAAAGAATCTTGGAATAACAAACTGGGAAAATTTCATTGTGTACACCTGAAATTGGTGGTGGTATTGGGTACAGTCAAATAAGCATTCAATATAGTCTAGGATTTTGCTTGTATGAACTCTGTCTTCCTTTTGTCCAATTCAGCTAGAGGTATGTATGTTCAGGTTCCTAAACTGGAAAGAGATAGATTGTGTACATGCAGTTGCATCCATGACCAGTTGATGGGGCTATGAGTTCACATCCTTTAGCTATATAACAAATATTGTACCACTATTATCTGTCCAAGAAGGTTATCTGTTCAGTGCACGCAGCCATCACAATTACAGTTCGGTATACGGTTAGATAAGAGTCCCGAAAGACAATGGGATTTTATGTTAACACAAACTAGCATAGGTAGAATTTAGAAAATTAGACCAATTGTGTGTAAAAAGGGACATGTTAAATAGGAAGTACTTCGGTTTCAGGAATAAAGGGATATCTCGTCCGTAGGATAAGCAACAAATAATATCGTAAATGAAAATGTGAAATGAGTCGTAGGGGCTATACTATGTTGTGTAAGTTTCCATTGGTGATTTCCTGTTCCATCGAACTAAAATATACTGTCAAAGTCCATTTAAATCATTTTTATAGGAGAACTGCCCCTCCATTTTTTAAAAAACAGAAGAGTGTTTTTGTCTTCATGTATAAACAATTCACTTAAATAGTCAGTTCCCTTTTCCAACTCCTTTTCAATGCAGTTTTATGACTTTTTGGATTTTCCTCCCATCATAGCTCCCATGCAGGCTGATGTATCACAGATGCCTGGAGTTCCTTGAACCCCAATGGCACCTGGTCTTCCAGGATCTCCTGGCAGACCAGGTTCACCGGGAGCACCATCTCGACCATCTTTACTAATTCCATCAACACCTGGTGGTCCTAGAGGTAGAGAATAAAAACATAGGGATTCAGCACAATACTTGGCCATCTTTCCCAGATTTTTGTGCCTTTTGGGTTGGCCTAAAATGATATGACAATGTACATATAGCAATCTGTTTTATTGTCAACACTGCATTTTGAATGAAGTTGCTCGAAAAATTCACAGCACTCTTCCCATCCATTACTAGTAATTGTGCTAGGTTCTGCTATTGGTACTTCTCAAGGGTTATGCTAGATTTTTCCTAAGTACTGCAGCATCTCTGGCTCACTTACATGTCAAGTAGCGCATTCACCATCCTGTAGTCCTCCTGTAATTTTTTTCTCTATGTTCCTGGCATTTTCCAGAGCTGTGATACAGTCTTGTTTAACACAGTTTAATCAAAAAAATTCCTTGGTGTCTTGGTTTTTAGGTCTGTTCCTGTGGTTATTTGGGGTGCTGATTCAGAAAATTGCATTGGGTAGTCTGCATCAGCTCTAATTTCTTAAATACGATTTTCTGTGGGCAAGTTGATGAAGACTGGTCTATGAGATATGTTCTATATCTCAAAAACTACAGATGATAGGGGAAAACTGGTGCCATTTGTGGAATTCACAGGTCTAATATGCCCGGAAACAGGTTTAACATTTAAGGTACCAAAATGAGTGTTGGCAAGTGTAATCAGTATTGTTAACAGTAGTTTCAGTTTAGAAAACTGGCACAAAAAGTCTCCTCTTGACTACTCGAGTTTTTATTTTGGGTGAAGAAATGAGGAGTTGGTATGTACGAAGGAAATAGCAACCAGATTTCAGTACTGTGTGGTTTTGTTATTATATTTCTTTGAAGCTCCTTCAAAGTTTATCCCTTCATAGTCTGTGTATAATTACATTTTAACAACTACATTTTAACAACTAAATGATCTTTAAAATTATTGCAAAAGTGGATGCAACTGTAAGGTCACCAGTTGAAATAAGTGACATAGTTGTGTACAAGAGAGAATTCCTGCTGAATTCCATCCCCTACTGCATTCGCTAACCCCACAAAACCATTAATAATAAAACTGCATTTTAAACCTCACAGAACACTGCTTTAGGAATCTAGTTTTTCAGCATGATTATATGTTAGTTTGTCCTGAAAGTTGACAACAGAATCATAGTGGAGGACCTAGGGATTCCCAAGGAGAACATTTTAAGTCAAATCCATAAATGTGGAGGACCAACTGTATTAAAGGTGCAGAATCCGTGTTACATATTTCACCTGACATCCCCACACAACTTTGCACAATAAAATGGCCCCACACAACTTTGCACAATAAAATGGCCTCCACAAACTGGAGGGGAAAACATATCAATGACTTCGAGGAAGAAAAACATAAGACTGTAGCAGTAGCAGTTTAATCTTTCAGATCACCTATGAAACATGACAGAAGGGCTGAAATCAGCCATTGGTGGGAACTGGAGATGAAATCACAGTATTACGTCGTCAACTTACCTTGAGGTCCTTGGTCCCCATCAGGTCCATCAACACCTTTACCAATGGCACCTTTGTCTCCCCTGTCACCAATGTCTCCTACAAAGCCACAATAAAGGCATGAGACTATGGAAAAATACTCTGATAACAGAATGATTTGTTTCTTTACAGAGCAAGCCTATAGAGCAGGCATGGGAAAACTTTGGCCCTCCAGTTGATAGGCTCTTAGGAATTGTGGGAGTTGAAGACCAAAACACATGAAAGGCCAAAGTTTGCCCATGTCTGCTATAGAGGCATGAGAAAGATTTTAAGACAGAAGAGCCATGCAACTTAGGGTGCATCTACACTGAACATAATTACATTATGAATATTTAACCTATTTCGAGGCTGTTAGCAAGCAGAGTGCCCTGAAAGATGGTATTAAATGTCTTTCTAAAATGTCCATCCAGCAGAAAAGCAATTCATAAGTATAAATATGTAGAAAGGAAACATTCACAGTGAGGCCTTGCCTTCAGAGTTACTTTCTTGAGTTTATACTACAGATATAGGAATCAGTCACTCATCTAGGTTTGCTGGGCTGCAAATCACAGCAGTTTTTGCTAGTAGTGCCCATGGTGAAGAGAGTTGGAAGCTACAGTCCAAGGATATTGAGTGGGTGATTTCTACAAGTTTGAACATTTCTAGCAATTTTCTACTGAGGGTTGTCATTTACAAGCAATGACACACCAAAAAGATCTATGATTGTCTGAAAAGCATGTAGATCAGGCATGGGCAAACTTTGGCCCTCCAGGTGTTTTGGACTTCAACTCCCACAGTTACTAACAGCTGGTAGGCTGTTAGGAATTGTGGGAGTTGACGTCCAAAACACCTGGAGGGCCAAAGTTTGCCCAGGCCTGATGTAGATTCCAGACAGTACTGGTGGAAAATTCAGTGTGATTGAGTCTTCTATTGAAATCTAGATTTAGCCAGTCCTTGGAAAAGTTATTTTTCCCCAAGAATCCCCCAACTAATATAGTCACTTGGTTCTGGGAGCTGTAGCCCCTCAAAACTCACTTATTCTACTAATATTAGCTGGTAGGAGTGATAACCCTCAAAGGTAATTTGTCCAAGCTCTGAACATGGACCTGTTGTAATGATCACTTACCTCTAGGACCAGGATCTCCCAAGTCTCCAGGGGGTCCCTTGTAACCCGGGGGCCCACGAGCCCCAGGATGCCCCACGCTCCCAGGTGCCCCAGGAGGACCAGGCGGACCAGCAGGCCCCGGGCGTCCCGTAAGCC